TTCGCCACCAGGCAGTTCGTCACCAAGTAGTTCATCACCAAGACACGTCACCACCGGGTCAAATAAACGAGGTACTTAGCCAAAAAATTTATACATCACAAAAAATGGTACGTGACCAGAAACAATTACATCAGAACCCATTGAGCATTCATCAGTATATTCATTGTTACTTTGTTAGCCACTTAAACTTCTTCATCTCATTTCCATACGCCCTAGATTTTGTACATTCGTCTACCATGCTATTTGTACCACTTGCAAAGCTGACAATAGTTCAGCCCTCATAGTCTCCTTCCCCAATCCCAGAACAGTTTCCCAAATGCTCAAATGTAGAGAAGGCCCAAAAGATCCTTAAGAAGCGAGGCAAAGTGAAAATTATAAATAAAATTAATGCAGCAAATTAATGGACTTCAATTTAAAGATATCAAACTAGTTAATGATCCTGTCTTCTTCTTTCTTTCATGTGGATGCTAACTTCTGATTAAGCATGTCTTGATTATATCTTCATAGATGACCCACTCTTGGAATTATGTCTATGTAAACTAAATGGATTAATACCTTCTAACTTAATCTAACATAATTTCCACTTTTAGAACCAACAAAGCACCTGGTTTTTCTATGCAGTCTAAGTAGAGGAACTTGGAGTTGGACAAAGTCCAAGCTTAGTTGCATCCAAAGGATGGTATTATGATGTTGCTTGCATGAATCCGTCATCATCAGAAAACATTCATTGAACTCATCCTCTACCACCCTAGGTTTATATTTTTGATATCCAACTCTTTTCACTATAATAGACTTGGGTATTCAGCTTCAGAAATTTTAGTAGATTCCAAATCTACCCAATTCTTCATCCACATCCTTAATTAATACATTATCTTCACTCAGATCAAACAATATCTTCAACACTCACCCAAAAGATAAATTTGTTCTTTCATAACAGAACAAGAACAAATGTTGAACGAAAAGCAACGGATTCTAAACTCTACCATTGCATACCACTGACACCCAGATTTCATTCAAACTAAATCCCTAAAAGAATAACAAATCAGATAAAGGAGGAAGAAGAGGAGAGAAAAGTACCTGCAAGAACACATCGTCGAGTTCACGGAAGTTTGACTCAGTTGAAGACAGAGAAGAACCAGTAGACATCCTGAAAACTTCCGGCGAATCAGCTCTCGCCACTACTGGTCCCATGGCCACGACCCACAACACAATTCCCCCTCAAAACTTCTGATTTCCCGCCAACAGTGCAAAAGAACCAAAAAGAAAACAACCCAAAAAATTTTTACTCTGCTCGCCTTGCGTGCCTTCCTATTTCACTATTTCTTATGTCGCTCCTTTTATCTGTAATTTTTGTCTTGCTGGTTTCCTTGAATGCGGAAGACTTGGCGTAGATTCTGAAACCTTTTATCCGGTTATTTTCCTTCTACATAATATAGCAAGCCCACAGGTCTCTCTCTCTCTCTCGCTCGCTTTGTCTTTGAAATTTGAATTTCACGTGAATCTTCACTGTCTTATCTATCCGCAAAGAACGGAGAAATGGGTTGTGGTTAACTGGCTAGTGGCTTGTAAATTGTAACAGATTGGGGCCCACAAGAAAGGGACTCCTGAGTATTCTGACTGTGTTAAGATGGAAAATGTAGACCGTTCATCTCGTAGTGCAGTACATTTGTCCACGTTGACCCCATATCCTAGCCTTGTGGTTGCAGGAATTTTGGTGGGTGTTGGGGTGTATAATTGCCGGTGAGTCGCAGTCTTAAAGAGTTCGGTTGAAAAGTTGATGCACGGAAGGTTCTAAAGAAAGCTGGAGCGAGTCCTAGAGTACAGTTGGCTCGGTCTTATGGGTCTGACATATGATTAAGGGATGTTTTTTTAGTGTGGATGAGAAATTGGGTGGTATACTATATTATTGTCGTAGGGATCAATCCACAGTTTATAGCTGCTGAATTGTGAACATACTATGTGGATTGGATTAATCTATACCCACAATAGCGTTATGTAGGTATGGTGTAAATTGATCCACACCACATCTTTTGATTCTATGTATTTCATATATAATTTATGAATGATCTACACAATTGATCAAAAATATCTAATTTTGACATTTTATATGATAAATAAATTGAAAAAGACATCAATAAATTAATATTAACCAATAAATATTAATTTTAATAAAAATAATAAAATAATTAAAAACTAAAAAGTATTATTTTATTCATAAAAATAATAAAACATTAATATTTAAATAAATAAAAAAGGGTGTAGAAGGAGCACTGCAAGCTAGAATTAACATTAAAAATCATTATTTTATTGATAACGTATTAAATAATTAAAATTAAAAATTATTATTTTAAAATTTAAAAACTAAAAACAAAAGAAAATATGTGGAGGAGATGTATTGTATAAAAATAGAGTGTGAAAATATTGTGGACTGACCACATCCACGAGATATATGTTTTGTGTTGTAAATGGGGACGGCCTACGATATATTATGGATCAATCCCGTCCATAGCCAACCTAACGCTATGGCCATCCCGTGGCTTGGACTGAAACAGGCCATCCACAAGATAACCATGGTTTTCGAACACCACCTTAATTGACAGTGATAGTTGTTCAACAAATTGTGAAACCAATAATAACATTCCACATTAGTCATAAAATATATAGGACCCATAACCATTCAACCCCACAATTTGAATTCTATATATTATGTAATCGTCGTGGGACATTATAATTGATTACACAACCTATTATATAGTTAAAACATTCAACTAATCCAAATTGTATGATGCGTAGGGACACCAAATATCGACCCCAAGCCCCAACTAGTGGATTTTGAGGCCATCATCTATGGTTGTGCCATAACATTTTATGGACCGTTTGATAGTAGACGGGATTTACTATCCACAAGACAGCACGCCCCCTCCAAAAAAAGATTCATCTACTTAGACATCCCTTATAGTTTGTGTATTACTAAAACACTCTCTATAGTTTGCACCCATAGGTTTAGGTTTTTTATTTCAAAAATACCCTTATGATTCTTATATCATATGCACTCCACACCTTGTACAAACCAAGTTATAACATGGGCGCAGAGGGTTTTGTTTCCTAAAAGGCTTATATAAGAATTATTTGGAATATTTTTTAAATAAAAAAATCCTGGCCCCATGCCCTTTCACATTTCCACTCATTTTAAGTGGTTATGTGATCATTCCCAGATGCAAATATAAACAACTATCAACAAAAAGGGTCAATTAAGTAAAGCGGTTTCAAGCTATAGGGGGTGTTCCACAACATGGTTGGTTTTGTTAATTTTTGATACATCGTCAAAAATAAAAAAAAAAACAATAAAAACAATTGCCACGTCATCAAAACTAACAAAACCAACCATGTTGTCAAACACCCCTTAGTAATATATAAATTAGATGGTAGGTTTTAGTAAGTACATAAAACTATAGGAGATCTCTAAATAAATTATGTAAAAAAAATATGCTACCCACATCGTGGCACATCTCAAACATATTTCTCATTTTTTGTATATTTTCAATATTGATGGGATTATACACATCAAATGCAAGGTTCAAAATATCAATATGCTTGATATTCAAAAATTGAGTATTGACTAATTGATACTCATTACTTTCTTTTACTTTTCAACTTTTTGTGTATGACAGTTTGTAACTTTAAAATAATTATTATTATTTGAAACTTTTATACTCACACAACTCTTGCTATTGCACACATCCGTGACATTGAAAATCCACACATATTGTGGTGAGTAAAAGAAAATAAAATGATCACTTATTGTAAATATGCATTTACAAATGATATTTTGAACCTTTGACAAATGTATAGCTAAGGTTCAAAGTATTGGAAATACAAAATGTATTAGTAAGGTAATTTTAAGAGATGTATTAGGATAAGATAAGGTTTAAATATGCATGGATATGGATGAAAAACCAAGATACACATGCATGGATATGCTAGTACATTCAAATAAATCTAAAAAATATATATTAATAATAATAAATATAAGTTTTATATAATTATTAAATATTTAAACATAAAAAAACCATACTTCAAGGGCTTATATAAATTGTGAGATATCGGGACACAACTATTAGCCATTGAAAATGATAAAAAAAATAAAATTTATATTTATATCTTAATTTCCTAAATCAATATAATTTGTGTTAATATTTATTATTGTATAAATTTTAATAATCAACTTTAGGATTTATTGCAAAAAATATCTCTTAAGAATAAAAATGCATATGTTTGTGACAAGCAACTATAACATGGCTTAAGAGTGCAGTTGTGGTTGTTAATTACTTGCTAATAACAAGGGTTCAAATTCTTCTATTTGTAAACTTTATAGCTAGTTTAAAGCTTTAGGCTGTTTTTGGTTTGAAGGAAAAAGTAGGGAAAGGCAGGGAAACCTATACAAGGTTTGTAAAGGTTTCCCTACATTTCCCTTCCTTTTCCTTGAAACCAAACATAGCCTTAAGGTGTATTTAATGGCATGCTTTAAATTTAAATTTGAATTTGAATATTGATTAAAGAGTGGGAATAATTATTAGAGTTATTAGAAAGAGAAAGAGTAATTAAAGTGGTTATATGGAGTAATTATAGTAGTTACTAGTCCGCACCCATGCGACACATGGGCCTTGTCAAGTATACTTCATGTAGAAGGAGTCTTATGACATTCCTAATTAGGTAGTCAAGCTAAATCAAGTTCACCCCAAGTTTTTTTTTTTTTTTTGGATATAGGAGGGAAAGGGCTCTAACATAAGCAAGGGTAGAATCAGGGTGACCCGGGGGAACCCTAATCCCAACACTACCCCTTTTGTAAACTTTCCCTCTCCCCCCACCCCCACCCACCCAATGATTAGCCCCCCAAAACCCCATCCATTTAATTAGGTTTTGGCCACCGTAGAAAAAATTCTGGCTCCTCCCCAACCAAAGATCATTGAGCTTAGTTGTTTCAATGGAAAATTGGTCACATTTTTTGTTTAATTACCACTTAGCCCATTATTTTGTAAAATTTAGTTTATTTTGGTCAATGAAGCTTTGATCCAAACTGTATAATCATTGAACTGTTTGAAGTAGATAACTATTCACAAATGGATAACTATTTTTTTATAATTTAAATACTTTTTATATTTATTATGAATATCAAGGTTTTTGAATTGTCGTTGACCTGGATGGTCAAACCGTTTGGCTTGAAATGTTGAGGCAACTAGTTCCATTTCGCCCTTAACTCATATCTTGGCCAAAAATTGTTGACTTCGTTAGTGACCCATTGACTCAGGTAGTCAAACTGTCAACCCCTTCGACCTGGACAATGGTTTTTGGTCATTTTTATTTTAATTATTTTTTATTTTTTTAAATTGGAAGAGGCCATATGTTCAAACCGGATGGTCAAACTACTAACTCAAAAACCAGTGGCCAAAGTGGTTCCAGTTCCAGGTCAGTTTTTAAAACATTGATGAATACCATAAGTGGATCCATTTCAAACCCGATGATTCAACCACTAACCTAAACCTAGAGGCAAAAATGGTTCCATTTTCAGTTTGACTTTAAAACATCGGGTTAAGGTTAACTTCATTAATTAGGTTATGTAGGTTAATTAGGGTACTTAAATTAAAGTAATTAATTATATTACTTAATTTAAGTGGGTTAAGGTTAACTTCATCAATTAGGTTATGTAGGTTAATTAGGGTAACTAATATTAAAGTTAATTAATTACATTACTTAATTTAAGTTCATTTAATAATTTGGATAATTATGTTACTCAATTTAATTAGGTAATACTTTAGTTAGCTAATAAAATAAATTATTTATTAATTAGCTAACTTTAATTAGTTTTCTAATTGTGCCTTAATTTAATTAGGTAATTTTACACGTAGCTGATAGTATCAAGAAAAGATTAAACTTGAATTAAGTTATTAGGTTACTGAAACTTAATTAAGATAATTAAGTTTAATTATGTTAATTAAATTAGCTCTATTTAGGAAATTTTAAGTTAAATTAACTTAAGTTAATGTTAATTTAGGGTAGTTCAGGTCAATTATGTAATTTTACATGTATCATATGTAATAGTACATGATTAAAGGCAATAATTATGTTTAATTGGTCATGTTTATGTAACATTGTTTTAAAAATGGGCAATCTAGCATGTGGCCATTGTCATGAGAAGAGAGAGTAAGAGGAATATGTTGAGAGGAGGAAGAAGAAAATGGAAAGATGATAAATAGGGTAGGAGGTTGATAAAAAAGATAAGGAAGGTGCACTAAGGATAGCATGAAAATTGGAGAAGTTTTCTAAGGTGTTGAAGAGGTTTTATAGGTGTGAAGAGAGAGATTTTAGGAAGATTTTTATGTAATTGGGAAGTGAGAATTAATAGAAGTAAATAAATTTGAGACAACATGTTTCCATTAGGGGTGGGAAAGGGAGAGAGAGTATGCTGAGGTGGCAACACTAGAGGCTTGGAAAGGAAATAATGCACCTTTTC